CTGCTGATTCATTTTTATTTTGCTTTATAAAACTGTCAGTTTTGACAGATGGAAAGTAGAAGAAAAAGTGATTCTTGACTTCAGATTTGAAAAAGTGATGGTTGTGTCTGGATTCACTTTTGAAGTTTAAGTGTTATTTTGTTATACAGTTAACACAAATGTCAAAAGTATCAGAAGCTAAAACATTTATCAAAGTTTTAATAACATTCTTTTATCTTAAAGGGGTTTGTTAAAGTTGTCAAGAATAAGGCCTACTTCAAGAGATACCAAGTGAAATTTAGAAGACGGCGAGGTATGGTCAGGTTTTCATGTTCACAACATGAAAAGAATCTGCTTTGTAGTGGAATAGACTTTTTTTAATTACTTTTTTCTTTCAGAGGGCAAAACTGACTACTATGCTCGGAAACGATTGGTAATTCAAGATAAAAATAAGTACAACACACCCAAATACAGAATGATAGTTCGTGTAACTAACAGAGATATCATTTGTCAGGTAAGTTGTATTCTAGACGCAAGTAATGGATGGTAACCTCCACCCCCTGCTTCTGCCCTCACTGTGGTAGAAAAGTTGTACTTGGGGAGCAAAACACAACGTATGCATTAGGTCCATCTAGTCTAGTGCTTGGCACTCCAAGGAACATTAAGTGAGTAGTTCTTTTGGTAGGTCTGAAGTTGGAGCCTGGGAAATTGGTACTGTAAAAAATACTTTGAGGATCAGCTGTTTGGCAATCCTGACCCAGTTTAATTCCATTCACTTTCTAATTGGCGGGGGGCGGGGGGATTAGAGAAGTTCATGGCACTGTGCTATTTTTGTGGGGGTGGGAGGGTAAATTTGAGACCCAGTGGAAGGTTCTTGCCCATTCCAATTCCAGTAAGTTAATAGAATTTATTGTGGACTAAGTTCACTTATCCAATACTTTGAAGAGGTAGGTAGTTGTGAATGTTAAATTAGACTCTTAAGATTATTTTTATTCTTGATTACTGTTCAAAATAGGTTTTAGTAAATACTTATGAAGGTGTCTCCCATGTAAAAGACTTACAGAAAGTGGCAATTTGCTCCTAGAAGGTAGTTTTCTGGGCTTTTACAACTAGAAAAACTTTTTGTACTTGAGATTTGGAGGAGACAGGCACATTTATTTTCTGGGCAGACTAATTTGTTGGTTGTGAAGGCAATCTCTTCCTCCATACCTAAGTTCAGATAACTAAATATTAGGTTTTCTGAAACATTGTTGGACTTAGGTATGCTTAGTTTAAAAGGTGTTTGAAATAATCAGGGATTCCTTTTTGATTTTTCAAAGTGCCTCCTTAATTTACTAGCTTTCCCAGCTCAAGGTCTTTTCAGTATTTCTCAGAAGTAAGGAACTACAGTATACCTTATTCCAAAGGTATTTTAATATTCGATGTCTCTGGTAATTTGAGACTTATGTACTGTGAAATTAGTCAAACATACTTAAACTCATAAACCTACCTTCTGTAGTTGACCAAGCCATAATCGCTGAAGGTGAGTGATTTAACAAAAATCTTAAGTGATGCAGATCTGTGTCTGTTTTTTTTGTTAAATCTTTTGAAAAAGAAGGCACTTAGGAAGTAATCCACAAAACAGTGAAAACAGATTACTAACCTTTTTTTTTTCTCTTATTGTAGATTGCTTATGCCCGTATAGAAGGAGATATGATAGTTTGTGCAGCTTATGCTCATGAACTCCCGAAGTATGGTGTGAAGGTTGGCCTGACAAATTATGCTGCAGCATATTGTACTGGCCTGCTGCTGGCACGCAGGGTACGTACAAGATTACTTTAAGTGATGTATTTTGGAATTAGCTCACTGGAATTGTCTGCAACATAGATGGTTCACACATGGATAAGATACCTTCAGCTAGCTGTGGGGAGAGAGGAGTCCCTCCTGTTGCCCTGTGGCTTATAAGGGCGTCACCAGGGAAGACAATTTTATATAAATACATTGTTTAAGACAGAGATGTACTTTATAATCTGGGGAAGCCTTTTTTTCTGTTTTCTCCCATTTGTTGGGTATATCTAGACCAATAGAATTATTTTGCATTGATGGATATCTGTAATCTGTACTGGCTGATATGGTAGCCGCTAGCCACATGTAGCTATTAAGCACTTGAAATGTGTCTAGTGCTGCGGATAACTGAGTTTTTAACTTAAATATGAATAGCCGGTTGTGGCTAGTTGGTGACTATCTTGTTGGACAGATCTAGTCAGAAGTGTAGATCTTACCATCAGCATACATTAAAAATGCAGACTATACCCCACACCTTCAGAATTTATATTCTGATAGGATGTCCAGGTGATTTATATGCATGCTAAATTTTGAGAAGCAGTGCCTTAAGCTTTTGAGGCGGGGGTAGGCATTGGTGGGGGGATTCATTTTTGTTTTAATTTTTGCCTTTGGGTGGCAACATTTCCTATAAAAGGAAATGAAAATGTGATCTTACCTTATTTTTGTTTTCTGACCTTGTTTTGCAGTGGAATTGTTAAGCATGCATCATTGTTGGGGACCCACATATTCACTGGTTATAAACATGTTTGGGTTGGGACATTGTCTTATATGAGCATCTTGGTGCAAAGGCACTATAGATAACTAGCAGAGTAGTGGCACATATTAACATAATACAGTGGCAGGGTAGAGCCACAAAAGGTGTTCTCTTCAGCACAGGATCCTACTCATAATATTGTTATCAAACAAAACTGCATATGATAATATTTAATATTTGGTTGTTGAATTATAGCTAAATATGACTGAGGAAAGGTGGAGATTACTTCCCTTGAGTAAATATAAGAATCAAATTTAAGTATCATGTCCTTATTGATTGCTACAAAAATCAAGTATGGACAGTGTAGCAGATTCAGAAACTGTTAAACAGTTATACTTGTTGGTAAAATTGGATGTCTGAAATTCCTTTTTGGGGCATTTAAAAATTGATATTTAAAAGCAGATTGGGATAAAGGGAAAAAGTGATTTGGAAGGAAATTTTTTGTCAGGTCATTAAAGTTGTGAATTTTGAGATATTGTTGTTTGAATATATTCTAACAAGCATTTAGATTGGCTTCTTTGTTAATAGCTTCTTAATAGGTTTGGTATGGACAAAATTTATGAAGGCCAAGTCGAGGTGACTGGAGATGAATACAATGTGGAAAGCATCGATGGTCAACCTGGTGCCTTCACCTGTTACTTGGATGCAGGGCTTGCCAGGACTACTACTGGGAATAAAGTTTTTGGGGCCCTGAAGGGAGCTGTCGATGGAGGCTTGTCTATCCCTCACAGGTAATAATAGTATTCAAGGCCTCGTTGCCTGGACTCCAGTCCTGCACTGTTTCTAACTGGTTGGGCTGTGGAGATAACTGAACCAATTAGAGTAATAGTAGCTATCATTGTGTACCTGCCATGTGCTGGGTACTGTGCAAAGGGAACCTGGCAAGGTGGGAAGGAACTGTAACATGGTTTATAAATGAAGAGACTGGGGTTCAGGGGTAAAATTATTTGTCCAAGGTTTTAGAGCCAATAAATGGAAGAGCCAGTGTTGAAACCACTACCTTTTGTGTGTAGCTAAGTTTTGGTTAGAAATGAGCAACTTGATACCACCAGTACTCCCCCTATTTTTTTTTGTTTGTTTAATTCAGAATGAAAATTTGTTTACTGAGTTATGGGGAAATACGGACTCTAGAGGGGAAAAAAGTTTGGGAAAAAGACATAAATTTTTAAACTTTCAAACTTTCAACTGGAAATGAGTGTAGGCTTTCCTTAGGAGCTAATAAGTGGGTTGTTTCAATTTGGTTGTTCCCTTGGTTTGAGTTAATGATTGTTATTGTTGAGTAGATACATCTTAAGGTGATTTATTAGCTTAGGAATATTTTAGTGATTGGTGATTTAACAACCAAAAACTTTTTCTGGCTTGCCTTTTTTGGGCGGGGGTGGCAGCAGTGGTGGTGGTGGTGGTAGTTGTTGGTGGCGTAAGCTATAAAATGTAACCTAACTGGAACTTACTTTTATGATGTAGGGTGGGTTTTTTTGGGGGGGGGGTTGGCTTGGCAATCCTCATTCAAGTCACCTGTTAAATGTGATCTGGAACAAATCACTTATTACCATGTACCCTGAGGCACCACTGAGAAACTGTAGGATTTAGGGAGAGTAATTTTGAAACCCTTTGCTATGAAATAAGGAGAACTAACTTTATAGTGGCCTTGGTTCATTTAATGGTATTTAAAGGTGCTTGTGGCATGATTTTCTATCCTGGAATTCAAAAATTAGCTGCTGAATGATGATATCCCACTAACTGAGCAGTCAGTAGTTGGTTCTTTGGTTGCATATGATGCAATTAATTGTTTCAAGACGGGACTGATGGCAGCTACTGAAATGAATTCCTTCTAGTGAACTGAGTTCAACGAGTATATACTAAAACTTGGAAAACTTTATTTCAGTACCAAACGGTTCCCTGGTTATGATTCAGAAAGCAAAGAATTCAATGCTGAGGTACACCGAAAGCACATCATGGGGCAGAACGTTGCAGATTATATGCGTTACCTGATTGAAGAAGATGAAGATGCTTACAAAAAACAATTCTCTCAATACATAAAGAACAACGTAACTCCAGACATGGTAAAAATTTAACTAAAAATACCTGTATTGGTAAATTTATAGAACCAGGTTTCCTACCTGTTTTGAGTGGGTATGTTAATACAGTTTTATTTCAGGTTAACAGTTAAAAGTTGAATATGGGCATGTTAAAATGAAATTGGGATGTTGGACCTAGGGTAGGTTAAAAGACAAGATACTATTATGAGGAGCTGGACTTGTCAACATGCTTTTAGGAATCTTTTAGATGCTGAAGGATGGCAGGCTTCAGGCATCCAAATCTAAAGCCTTTGGTGGCTTTTATGCATTTGGCTGTTCTGTATTTATAAATTTCATTCATGTGGTCATAATCTACTCCAATAGGAGGTGCTAGTTACTAGACTTTACTCCTTTTGAGGTCATGGGGAAAAAAGGTTCTTTCTTCATTTTTAGCAGATAAGTGTTATGTTCTAGACTTTCTCAGTGTCTCAGGCATGCACACAAAAAGGGAGATGTACAGATTCTATCACTGGTTCTGTGTGATGTTGCAAAAGTGAAGGGACCCGTGTTTTCAAAAGTCAGTTTAATGTTGCAAAGTTTATCACCCCTAAAGTTGAGTCTCAGGGCTCTCTCTGTTAATACATTGGGGTAATTGATGATGACAGTGCGAGTTTTGATAGTGAAGGCATAGAACACAAAAATCACAGATTATTATAAACGTATTGCAAATACAGAATTATATGTAAATTGATACATATCAAGTAATTGTTTTTATTAGGTTCTTTTCTGTTGCTGCATATTTTGTATCTGGCATACCTATGTCTGAAAATTATTTTTAAAATAGTTATAATTGAGGGAAAGATCACTTTCTGTTTTTGCATTATTTTCCTTTGCTAATGAGCTTTATACAAATGCATGTAGTAATTGCATTTTAAAAAATTTATTTTTGGTTGCGTTGGGTCTTCGTAGCTGCACACGGGCTTTCTCTAGTTGCGGAGAGCGGGGGCTGCTCTTCCTTGTGGTGTGCATGCTTCTCATTGCGGTGGTTTCTCGTTGTGGAGCACGGGCTCTAGGCGTATGGGCTTCAGTAGTTGTGGCTCGTGGGCTCTAGAGCACAGGCTCCGTAGTTGTGGCACACAGCCTTAGTTACTCCGCGGCATGTGGGATCTTCCCAGACAAGGGCTCGAACCCATGTCCCCTGCATTGGCAGGCGGATTCTTAACCACTGAGCCACCAGGGAAGCCCAGTAATTGCATTTTACTCACATGGAATGAGTAGTTTTAGAGACCTGGATTTCCTTGACTCATTCTTTAGGAAGGCTGTAGTTGTTACTGAATTTCACACATTTTACAGTTTCTCTTCATGACTTGATCTTCCATGTGATCAATAGTCATTTGAGGGGTGGGTATTAAAACACTTCAGAGAGTTGCAGCATTGTTTTTTGTTGAATTTTAGAACAAAATTCTCATTAATGTTTCTAATTGGATGGCGGTTTTCTAGGGAAATTTGGGCCTCTTTCTGACTCCACAGAGGCCTGATACTGCTGCCAGATACTGGTGATTTGTGGTAGTAGATCAAGAGCTTCCTGGTATGGGATCCTGGGAATAACTTTTGAAAAGACCTATCAGAAATCAGTGGGAAATAGAAATATGGGGAACGTGGGAGGACAGAGATGTATTTGGCAGTTGCTTGTTAGTCCATATATTTTTCATCTTAACATTTTAAATGCTGGAATGTATCCATACTTGAATGAAAGAATTTAGGTCAGATGGTTTTAAATGAGCATAAAATGTGTTTCTACAGCAAACAGTTTGCTTTAAACTTGAGTGACTCATGAAGTATAGCTGAATTATTCAGAAATACATGCGAATTTTTCTTGAGGAAGATTGTTATGTTTTGTGAATAGTGTCAATTCATGTTGCTTATGGTAAAAACTGGGACTTTCTTAGGAAAAGATGGGTTACAAAAAGATACCAATATTGACCTAGTTTAGCTCCTTTTGAGACTCTGGCTTAGAAGGACAAAATAGAGCAAGCAGTAGAAGCATGTGTTTTATTACTGTTTAGGGCATATGAAATGAAACCAAGTACTGTTTGCTTTGCTTTGTTTCAGATGGAGGAGATGTATAAGAAGGCTCATGCTGCAATACGAGAGAATCCAGTGTATGAGAAGAAGCCTAAGAAAGAAGTTAAAAAGAAGAGGTATGTGCTTTACTGTTTTTTGAAGAGAAAGAGGTTGGGAGGGGTTCCTGCCTTGTTTCATCTCGCTCAGACTCTGAGTGAAGTTGTGCAAACTCGATCACTAGCTCTGCATGATGTTGCAGAGGTGAGGGGAACCAGGTTTGCTAAAGTAATTGTGGTGATAGAAATGTATTAGCCTTGGATGCTACCGAGGTGGCCCATTCTGTCCCAGTACATTGTAACTGTCAATTACTGCATTTTTTAATAGGCTAACTAAGGAAGAGAACAGGTATTGGACTTGGGATTATTTGACCTCCATTTTATTACAAAGTGTGTCTTTTTCAAAGTTAAATATTCTCTATCCTTTTTCGCTATGGTTTTTAAAATTTATGTCCCTTTCTCTTCTTTTTACCTTGTTCTGTAGGTGGAACCGTCCCAAAATGTCACTTGCCCAGAAGAAAGATCGGGTAGCTCAGAAGAAGGCAAGCTTCCTTAGAGCTCAGGAACGGGCTGCTGAGAGTTAATAAACCAAACCACAATTTCCATGAAGATTTTTCAGATAAAGACAGTAATAAACTTATTGAACAAGTAGCTGTTTCTGTGTTAAGCTCTTGTCAATGAAACTGTGGGAAGTACCTGAAATTGACAGTATTTTCCTTCCAGAAACAAGTGTAGCTTTTTCCAGAAAATCTTACATATTGCCTCAAAGTTCATACCTTGGGCATCTGTTCTTCCTGACAGGCGTTATCCCTTCAATTGTATGATGTGCAGCTGTTCTTAAAAAGTCTGGCAAGCAACAGACAAACCTTCCCCTAGAAATATTTTTTCCATTCATTTATTGTAACCACATGATGAGTTGGAAGAAGAAGTACCTTCACAGTTTACAATTTTAAAGTAAGTGAAACTGATGCTACTCCATGGCTTTAGTTCTTGAGAGAGAGCTGTCCAATGAAGGTCATATAATTTTAACACATTTATCCAGATGAAACCTTTGAGCAGAAAATACTGGTTCTTTTTTTATTTTATTTATTTTTTTACTTTTGCGGTACGCGGGCCTCTCCTGTTGCGGAGCACAGGCTCCGGACGCGCAGGCTCAGCGGCCATGGCTCACGGGCCCAGCTGCTTCGTGGCATGTGGGATCTTCCCGGACCGGGGCACAAACCTGTGTCCCCTGCATCGGCAGGCAGACTCTCAACCACTGGGCCACCAGGGAAGCCCGAAAATACTGGTTCTTTAATTATAAGAAGAGGTGTTTCGTTTTATGGAGTTGAAAGGCCAGATCTGAATAAACACAAAAGAGAGGAGCAAATAATAACCATTGTATATCAAGTTTACATGAGAAAAAGTGTTAGGTGGATACATTTACATGCCTCTTGAGAGAAACAGTCCTTTGGCCAATAGGGAATACTGTTTGTTTGAAAATGGAAAATTAGTAATAGGAAGTTTATGATTTCAGAGTCCTGCTCTTAATGTCCCACTTTCTCATAGCTCAGATTCAGGATATGTGTACCTGTGTTAGGTCTGTGGCCTAAAGATATGAGTTTTGAAGACCAGTTGGCTGGCTGATACTGATACAGACCCTTAAATCTAGGATGATGAACTCATCCATATTCAGCCTCTAAAATTGGCAATTATATATTTCCAAGTAGAATGCTTCTGATGGGTTTTTAGTGGGTAAGAGCCACTCAAAACTTTCTGAAGCCACATAAAATGTGATGTCTAAATGAGTTAAGTGTATTTATAAGAAACCATGCTATTAACCCAACATCTGTTTATAAAGGAGTAATTTTAATCTACCTGCTTTGCAGTCTTAATTTCTGTTAATGTGCAAACTTTACCATGCTGAGACATTAGTAAATTTATAAATTTTCTTTTTTAAACAGCAGCTTCAATGCAAACACAATTTCCAGCACTGATATTTTGGCTAACAAATCTACAAAATACTCTGACCGTTGATGTTTATGGAATGAGGCTTTTCACAGCATTATTTTAAGTCATTAGTCAAAATAGTTACACAGTGAATGTACTAGGAAATGTACCAGCGTTTCTAAAAGGGCAGGAATGAATATTTTTGGACCTTTTGATCCTATACCTTCTGCCATTACTTCAGCAATCAACATGTATTTTAAGATGATGGCTTCCTTAGGATCAGGGGAAACGAGTTTTGTGATAACTGGCAAGGATTTGAATCAAGCCATTTAGAAAAGTTCAAGATTTTCTGTTGAAGTGCTAAGTTTCTTAAAATGGTCACAATGTCCAAATGAACTAAGAGTCGTTTGTGTAGGAAATTTTCTTCCACAGTAATGTTTTTAGGTTATTTAGTATCAAAGAATGTTCCATTTCCATTTGATTTGCTGTGACTTTGAGAGCAATACAGGAATACAGCTGCTTTTCTAATTCTTCACGAATTTCAACTGGAGCACCACGCAACAGGTAGTCTTTGAGTAACTGACAGGCTTTTGCCAAGTTTGGTTGGATCACTTCTGAGGTACACTTCATTGTACTCTGATCACAGCTAGTTCGACAATCCGTGCCATAGACACAGTCCAAATCAGACTCACAGTGACGATCCTTTATAAGTTCTTTCAGGTTTGTCTCTGGCACAATTTTTCTCATGTCCACCATTTTCAAATCATACTTATCATTATATCCTAGGTTTTTGGCACTAGTATCGCACATGAGGAAGTTTCCATAGGGGCCATGGAAAACATCTTCCACAAATTCTAGAAGTCCTATGGCTATTTTAGCCTTTCTAGGCCATGATGGTGTGAACAACTGATCCATGCTTCTTCTGAACCCAGATGGAATAAAAAGTTCAATGACCCATGGAAGGCTTATTCCATAAAGAGAGGTATATTCAACACTTTCCATCACATAGAGATCACCACAGAATCCCATTAATTTGGGGGTATGTTCTTTATCTTGAAGTATTACCATGAGAAGAAATTCATTTAATTGAAGAAGTGCCCATGCTGACTTTGCTTCTCCCAAGGAAACCTGGCCATCTTTGTCTCCATCAGCCACTGTCAAAATGAGATTAACCAGTTCAGAGAGGTTGCCTTGGTCACCCAACTTTGCCTGTAAAGATAAGAATTTGGCTAATTATACAGAAGCAATGAAAAATATGAATCTCATATGTAACATACTAACTTCCTTTACAGGGATAATTACCATGCTAAGTAATAATCTTGCTACTGAATACCCATAGGAGACTTAATACCTTTCCAAATATTTATGTTTGCTAAGTGAGTCAGAACTGTGTTTTATGTACTTGAGGTGAAACCCACTTTGCTAAGTATATTTGTTATATAACATGTTATATAATATGTTATATAACATGTTATATTTGTTATAGCCACCTTAACGCCCATAGCCGCCTCAGACCTTGTAGATAAATACAGTTAACCAAGCCATTAATTAATCTTTGTCTTATTCATACACTTACTTGCAAAATTGCAGTGTAATTTGCCCATATCCAAAGTTAACGGGTCAACTACAAATTATTTTCTATTTTGTAATTGTTATTATTTTATTCAAGGTGTTCCAATAATGAATGCTACAAGTATTTCCCTGTGGAGACTCTCTGGCATAAAACAGTCTAAAACTGTAAACTGGTCAAAGAAAAGAAAGATTTTGAGTTAAAATATAAGAGCAATAAAAATGAGAAGAAGATTCTTTCCAAAAGTGTGATTATTTTCATTGTTTTTTGGCCGTGCCACGTGGCTTGCGGAAGTTCCCTGACCAGTTATCGAACCCGCACCCTTGGCAGTGAAAGTGCCGAGTCCTAACCACTGGACCCAGGGAATTCCCAATATTTTCATATTTCTATTTAATCTCTATTTCTTTAAATTAAAAAAATAATTTGCAGGCTTCCCTGGTGGTGCAGTGGTTGAGAGTCCGCCTGCTGATGCAGGGGACACGGGTCCGTGCCCCGGTCTGGGAAGATCCCACATGCCGTGGAGCGGCTGGGCCCGTGAGCCATGGCCGCTGAGCCTGCGTGTCCGGAGCCTGTACTCCACAACGGGAGAGGCCACAACAGTGAGAGGCCCGTATACCACACACACACACACAAAAATTGCAATCAGTCTACTAATTTTATTTCACCTTTTTAAAAAAAGTGTATCAGTTTTAATGTCAAGCTATAGAGCAGCCCATCTACTTAATGAACTCTCACATCTGGACATTTTTAGCGATAGTAAGTAATGTTAAACACCCTCCATACATTTTTTTCTTTTCTCTGAATTATTTCCTCAAGATAGAGTCCCTGATATAGGTCAAAGAATACCAACATTTTTATGGCTTAGAATGAGGTCCTGCCAGCTTCCAGAAGAGTACCACTTCACACTAGCAACATGTGAATGCATATACTTACTTTAAAGAGACTGTAGACCATTTCTTTGAATTTCTGTACAGTAGTTCCCCTAGTTGGCTTATCAAATAGCACTATTTCTTTCCTTGGTTCCAATTCAGTTCCAAAATCAAGATGAAGTGCTTGTTCCATTTGACATTTCACAACACCTGGTAGATTATCCCAAATCCCTAAATACATCTGTGAAAATAACAAGTTATGCTTTAGGCAGAGTAGAAAACTCTAATCTACCACGATATTTTTAGTGTCCTCCTCTTAAAAAAACACACAAGCAACAAAACCGAGATTGAGCTGACCTTCTGAATTGCAAATTTGAAATCATACTTCAAAGCTTTTTTCCTTAATTTTTTTAAATTATAAAAGTATTGCATACCTAAATATATATATATATTTGACCTTGGTCATCAGTTTTATTATTTTCCATTTTTTAAATTGTAAAATATCAAAAATAGAAAATTTACCATCTTAACTATTTTTAACATACAGTTCAGTGGTATTAGATTCATGAGGTTGTGCTACCATCACTACCATCTGTCTCCAGAACTCTTTTCATTTTGTAAAATTGAAACTCTCTACTCCCTGTTCCCCTTCTTCCCCCAGCCCCCAGCTCATCACCAGTCTACCTTCTGTCTTTATGATTTTGACTACTCACTCTAAGTATCTCATATAAGTGGAATCATACAGAATCTGTCCTTTTGTGACTGGCTTATTTCATAATGTCCTGAAGGTTTATCCACATTGTAGCATGTATCACAATTTCCTTCCTTTTTAAAGCTGAATACTATTACATTGTAGGAATATCCCACATTTTGCATTTCCTTTCATTCACTGATTGACACTTGGGTTGCTTCCATGTTTTAGCTATTGTGAATATTATGAACTTGGATGTACAAATATCTCTTCGAGATCCTGATTTCAATTCTTTTACATATATACCCAGAAGTGGAATTTCTGAATCATAGGGTCATGCTACTTTTAATTTTTTGAGGAGCTGCCAACCTGTTTTTCTCAGCGGCTACACCATTTTACATTCCCACCAACAGTGGGTTCCAGTTTTTCTGCCTTATTGCCAACACTTGTTATTTTCTGTTCTTTTTTTCCAGAATAAACTCACAGAGTTTTATTTTACTGAGCAATGCTTGTCCTGCGTTGTTTTACCACTTGTCAATATTTCACACTCTCTATACAACCAGAAAATGATTCCAAGGACACGTAGCAAT